TGAACAGATCATTCAATGACTTAAGACAGCCTTATTTTGACTAACTCATCTCAATACTCAGCATTCTAGCAGTTTGCAACTGCAAAATTCATTAGAAGTTGCCAGATCCCCTCCGCTCTCCTGTGACTATTTCTTTGTGCCCTCTCTGTCCTGTGTACAGTATTAACCTGATCACAGCATCCTGAAGTACAAAGATGAGGACTTTCAGAGGGACTTGTGTGTGAGTCATTTGAAGGGTTAGGACTGGCTCCAAGGATGCTCAAGGAGAAATCGGGCACATCAGCCCTAAACATCTGCAGAAGTTGTCTTTGCCCAAGGTAAATCAGACCAGCTGATCTCTGCAGCTCACTTGGATGCCCTTTCGATGCCGCTGATGTGTAAGTGCCTGCATTGTCCGCTGACACTCACTAAATTTATTTGCATGTAGCTTTTCTCTTCATTTGATCTCAGCTGTCTGTGAAGATGCTCTTTACTCCAGTGTTTATTCCCTCTGTGCTACTCAGCACACATTAAGCATTTACAAAAATGAAACACAGACTGTTTTACCTGGGCAAATTGCCTTAGAGAGACTACAAGGACTCAGCTCAAAAAACCTATCCTCACGAATAACACCTTGAGTTTTGTGATCTTCAGACCAAAAAGTGCCAAGCACAGAGCCCAGCAGGAGCCTTAAGCTGGCTCCTGGTTTATGTCCCCGACTGCCTGCTCCCCTCTCTGCCTGGGCAGCCCAGCAGGTCCCAGTTTACTCCAGTCCATGCTCCTGCCACCACAAGAAAGACATCCCTTCACACCTCCACCTCACCACTGTCGGGGCGGCCCTGACTCTGATCTGAATGACCGAAAGGCATTTATTCTGCTCCTTTGAGACCTGGGAAATCTTGGTCAAAATTCAGCAGCAGTGAAAACATTGTTTAATACCCTATTATAGGCCAGGGAGATGAAAGGAACTCTTCTCATGTCCATTTTCAGCACAGATAATACAGACCAGCTTGCTCTCAGGGCAGAATGGTGAGCCTGGGCAGGGAACACAGCATTATCACAGAAATCTGTATTAATAACCTGAGCCAGCTCTGCTGTTGCAAACAGCCACTCAAGGCTGTATTACAGAGGGCACCAGAAGTGCTGCCTTCATAAGGAAATATTAAAAAGGACCAAGCAATATGCTGTCGCTAACATTACAAGTGGCATAATCTTGTCCTCCTTTGTACAGCAGTGCTGATTAAAATACTACAGAGAAATCAGGGATTATTATTATTATTGTTATTATTTAAAGAGGCTTTGTTATTTAAATAACAAAGCTATTGCCAATGTTAACAGGTCAAGGACCAGAAGGGAAGTGAAGCACAGGGACAAGTGAAATCCATTGGCAAGGAAACACCAGGACACCCCTGGAGCTGCGGAGAACGAGCTTTAAAGGCTCCAGCAAGAGCCCAGTAAGCACTGGGACGGCCCCAGTGATACTGCTCTGGGCTGAGCTCCATGGCAAAGCCGAGCAGAGCAGTGACCATCACCTTGCTGCGGGCAGCTGCATCACCCCCTTCCACCTCTACACGCTAGGGCTCAAGCACTTACAGAAGTCGGAGGCCATCCAAGCCAGCCTGGCGGGCTCTCACCGGGGACAGGTTTGTCCCGCTATGGGGTCAAAGCTTTCTTGGTTCTTCTCCATGGCATCCCACCTACCCGCCGGGCTCCTGGGGGCATCTCCCCTGCTCCTGCGTCCTTGCTGCAGCTCCCTGGATGCTGGGGACACAGCCCTCACTTGTAACGCCGGTCCAGGGGTGGGTGACACGGCTGCCGTGCAGAGCTGGGGCTGTCCCTCTGACAGGGGGAGGCTGCCCCTTCCTGGGCTCCTTACTTGAGCCCTGCACCCTTCCAGCTCCTCTGAGTCAGTGCCAGGCATACAGAAAGGTCTTTCTTGCCTTTTCCTCTCCTAATTAACTTTATTTCCATTGCAGAGAAGCACGGACAGACTAATTGCTGTGCTGGTCCTGGCTGAGCCTGGTGCTGACCTGAGCCTGGAGATCTGACGGGGAATTAGGAGCTGGAAGGAGGTAGAACAGATTAGCTCCCGTGGAGGGAAATCCCTCATCCCCACAGGCAAATGCAAAGAGACGGCGCTTTGCAAAGCAGCAGAGACACAGCAGGCTCTCACTGCTCCCCAACAGCAGCTGGGCATGCTGAGACCTCGCTGGCCCCACTGCTGGCAATTTGGGTGGGAAACCAGAGATTTTGGGAGTACACATCTGCCAAACAAAGTGTGGTTTGCTACAGATTTGGGGGCCTGGGCCAACTTTTGCAGGGCTTGGCAGGAGAGCTGTCCCCAAGCCAGGCTGCTCCTCACAGCAGGGAGCTGTTGAGAGAGTCCTGCAGCACAGACCCCCGCGCTGGCACCGACTGTTCGTTAAGCTGCTATTTCTGATTTTCTCCTCTGCTTTCTCAGCACTTAGAGATCTCAGGGCTTAGCACACTAAGAGGTTTTAGGGTATTACACGTCCTGCTGCGACACCAGCAGGAGGGGCCGTCTGCATCCCGTCGCAGACCACGCAGCAATCCGGTCTTCCCTTGGAACTGGTGCGGGCAGAGCAGTCGGCAGCGTCGGGCTGGATGGGAAACAACCTCCCCAGGAAACCTGGGAGAGTTGCCATGGGATGGGGTAAAGCCTTACGGAGGAGAGCTGCAGGAACCTGCTCTGCACCAACCTTCACTGCACGACACACTGAAAGGTCTTCCTCTTGCTTGTGCCCTTCACGTTCCTACATGTCACTGCTGCGAGGGACTCAGGACACCCTCCTCCTCCTGTCCTCTCCTGCTCTGGTGTCAGTGATGCTCTGCTGGAGACGGGACATGGCTCCTTTCTTGTAGGTTCTGCACAAACACCAATCTCCCCCTCAGCAGCTGTGGTCGGTGGGTGTGCAGTGAGGGGAGCGTGCACTGCCCTCCCCTGTTGACACAGAAATGCACACATCTTCCTAGAAACCACCTGGGGATCTTCTTCACTGTTCGCTGCCCAAACAGGCAGACAAGTAAACTGCAATGGATATTCTTTTTTCTTTTTTTTTCAATTTTTTCCAGCAAGTGAAGCAATTGCTTCTTTTCCCTCCATTTTTAAGTGACTTGAGTACTTTAAAACACTGGCAGTGAATTTTAACCCCTGCAAGAAATTAGTTACAGGATTCCAAGCTGATGAAAAGACTGTTTCCTTGAAGATCTTCTGCTAGATTTTGAGCAGACGAGACTTTTCACTCACTTGCAGAGCGCTCGGATTGAATCAGCTTCACTTCTCTCAGACTCAACCTACCACTGAAGCATTTGCTGGCTGGTTTGTCCTTGAGCACAGCCTGTAAGGTCGCTGAGGGTGGATGGAGCTCAGTGCTGGTGCTGTTGCTGGGCCCTGCTCGGTGGCACTGGCTGCAGCTCCCACCGGTAGCACCGGTAGCTCCGCGCTGTGTGCAGTGCACAAACCCTGCCCGTCTGCCCACAGGCAAATAAACCACCTCATGTCCACACTGCTGCCAACCACAGGGCCCCTTCTACACTGCTAGACTTGTCAGGTTACATCCCATGTCCCACACAAACCTACAGCTGTGTCTGGAGCAGTACAGAAATTTTGCTGTATCAGTAAGGAAGGGCAAAAATGGCTTTTTCACAACATCCTCTATCAGGAGCAAACTGCCTCGGGCTGCGCTCTAGGAGAGCTGTGCCCAGGCAGTATTTTGGCCCCAATTCTCTCTCTCCAGTTCTGGTGTGGTGCGTTGTGGGCCAAGAACTTACCAGAGGAAAAAAGATCCCCTTCCTGAAACCCAACCTCATCTCCTGCCGCCGTGTCTCCTGTCCAAGCCAATTAATTTCTTCTCGGTGTCAAAGCAGCCCGAGCATCCCTCGGAGGACTTACCTGTTGTGCCCGAGATCCAGCCAGCAGCAGACTGGGACCCAGAGCTGGCAAAATCATCACAGCAGCTTCGAAGCTTTTGGATCAGTTACCCGGTGGCAGCAACGGGCTGAGTTTCTATGGCAAATTCTACCCAGGCACCGCGTAACCCAATCGGTGGCTCATTAGCGGTGCTCTGCAGAGCACGGACTGTGCCGGCCACGGGGACGGTTTCAGTTGACAGCCACGGCGTAAGGAACTGACAACAGGACATTTATCTCCTGCAGCTTTAGTCCATCCCACCCCGGCCCCAGATGAGATCCCTGTGGGGACTCGGACAAACTCACCCCGGCTTCTTACAACACGTGGGACACGATGGGGTGAGAGGAGGCTGCCTATGGAAAGGGAATATAACGCTCAGGGCTGCACTGGAAGACAAAAGGGTTTCGCTTTAGAGATTTCACCAAAGGCAATAAATCTGAAGAAGTTTTCACCGATTCCTAAGGAGTCACACGGGATGCGCCATGCCAGCTGGCGGTGTTACACACAACATGTGCAAGCAGAAGAAAACAGCACATCGACTGCACTCAACTCACGGTAACGGGCTGCCCAGGACCATAAGAACTCCACATACAACTCTGGGATTTATAAAAATTATTTAACTTTTATTTCTACTGCTTTAACCTTCGTGTTCTGCTGCGAAGGAAGGAAAAAGGCCAGAAGGAGTGGCTCTCCCCGACAGCCTCAGCGCCTTCAGGAGGCGATGGCTGATCTCTCCCTCGGCCTGGAGCCGCCTCCCGGTGTGTGGCCCAGCGGCGGCCCCGTCCCGACCCCGCCAACCCGCTCCCCTCAGCCGGGGGACGGGCCACCTCCCCGGAACCCGCCGGGCCCGGCCTGCGCGGGTGCCGGACGCCGGATGGAGAGGTGCCATCCTTGATAAACGGACCTTCCGAACGGACCTTGGGCAGAGCGGTGGGGCTGGGCTGCTCTGCCGGTCCCCGGGGGCGGCCGCCGGCTGAGGGATGCCTCCGCTTCCGGGTGCGACAGGCCCTTCCGCCGCCGCAGATCGCCGAGCGGCCGGGGAGGGCGGGAGGGCTCGGCGATCGATTAGCCGGCCTCTGGGGAGGGGCGGCGGGGAGCAGGTGAGGGGAGCCCGGTCCCCCCGGGGCCAGCGTCCTCCCGCTCGGTGCCTCTCGGTACCCTCGACGCCCCACAGGCCCCGACTGTGTCCCCAGGGCACCGTGGGGCTCCTGCTGCTCGGGGGTTGCAGGACCGGGGCTGTCCCGGCGGCAGGCAGGCCGCAGGCCCGGCGCAGAGCCCCGAGGCCTAGCAGCCACACAGCTGCTCCCTCCATAAGCTGTCCCGCCGGCGGGTCCCGGCCTGTACAGAAGTACATAAAAGATCGAAATAAATCCTCTGCTCTCGCGGAGGGGATGGGTTGCACCGGCTGGATTTAGCCTGGAGAAAAGGAGTCTGAGAAGGGAACTTACTGCTCTCTACAATTCTCTGAAAGGAGGGTGTAGCCAGGTGCCAGTCAGTCTCTTCTCCCAAGTCACAGGCGATAAGACAAGAGGAGATGGCCTCAAGTTGCACCAGGGGAGGTTTAGATTGGATATTAGGAAAAATTTCTTCACAGAAAGGGTTATCAAGCATTGGAACAGGCTGCCCGGGAAAGTGGTTGGATCACCATCCCTGGAGGTATTTAAAAGACAAGTAGATGTGCTGCTAAGGGATGTGGTTTAGTGGTGGTTTGGGCAGTATTAGGTTGATGGTTGGACTCGATGATCTTAAAGGTCCCTTCCAACCTGGACAATTCTGTGATCCAGTGTTTTGGTGATGCACTAAACAGTGAGAAGCATAGCTAGGCCCCAGGCACTGCTGCAGAGAGCAGGCACTGAGGAGCACTAATAAGCTGCTTCTGTTGTGTTGCAGGGCTCAGGATGGACTTTCTGACACTCTTCTTGATTTATTTGTGTTTTGTGCTCGCTACTTTTGCTCTGCTCTGCATCTGCTCGGGAAGGAAGGAGAGTTTCCTCACAAGAAGTGTCAACAGTGCAAGCCAGGTAAAGAGCTGAGCTTTTGGAGCGATGACAAGCTCCTGTTCTGGTGGTCTGCAGTAGTTTATTGTGCTAAAGTTAGTGCAACTGCTGTATTTCTCCTCCATAAAAATGCTAGTATATGTAGTTAGAGTGATGATACGGTATATTTCATCCTGTTTGGACAACTGCTCTCAGGCAAGTGCTAATTGGGATTGAAAATAGAAATATGCTTCATTTTAATTGATGAAATCCTGCCCAAGCAGGTAGTAAAAAAACATTTGTGTCTTTTAGCTGTTTCTGCATGTGCCACTCTGGCCAGCTGCAGTCACCACAGGGTAATAGTAAGGATGGAACTCCTTACAGTGCTAAAAGTACATTGATCAGTGACACTGTAACATGTCAGCTTTGAGAAATTAAAAACGAGGACCCAGGTATTCACAACTTTATGGTGCTTGCTGAGGAAAAAGGTGGGGGGAGGTTTGAGGATTAAAACAGGGAGAGAATTATAACCGGTAGCAAATATTTTAGGGGAAGCTCTTTAAAGTGAATTGGTAATAACGCTGCAGGCTGTTCTTTCCTAAGAAAGAGGGAGGAATGAAGAGCTTTAAAAGAGTATTAAGAATTGCCATTTTATTGTAAAATCAGAGAATGAACTGAAAAGGCACTAGTTTTTTTCTGTCTGTTGGGCTGTGTCTCAATGAAGAAGGAAAAAGAGGTGGAAGGGAAAGGATAAGATAATCTAAATTGTAAATAACATTTAATGCTGTTTATATGAGTATAAATAGATTTTGATTTTTATTACTAGTATTTATTTTGCTTTATAGACATGCAAATCACTGTGTAGAAAAATTTATTATAATTTTCCCACATTCTTTAATAGTTGCTTCTATGAAACATGTGTAACAATCAGCAATTAAAATACTGGTGTGATGTGGAGTCACTGTCTGGAGAAATGTAATCGATACTTTTATGCATTAAATAAATATAGGTAATCCTAAATAGTTTCTGTAGACACTGTATTTTAAATTCATTTCTGCTTGTGATTAATGAAGCATATAAGACTGGAAGTTTGTTGAAATTCTTTGGCTACACTCCTGCATGATCTCTTAAAGTATTCATTGTGAGCAGCATGAAATAATTAACTTGCACAGGGCACAGGTGTTTCTAGCTCTGTGGCAAGTCAGCTTCCACCCCCAGTCTGTTTTCCTTGCTGCCAGCGGTTCGGTTGTGCAAGACGGTTGTATTCGTTGTACAAGTCTTCTCATTCACTCCTGCTTCCATCATCACTGCAAGCACAAATCGTTGTTCTAAGAGCCTTTTGCTTTGGTGTAAGGAATGGCTGAAACACAGGGGATTGCAGTACTGTATGTAGGGAAATAATGGATGTTGAACGTAATGTTAGACTGTACAAACACACATACAGGTAATTTAAATTTGAATTTTGCAATTGCATGCAGATTGCTTTTCTGCCTGCTAGTCTGATGTGTTTCCTAGTGCAGCACACAGCCTCTTTTAAAAAAAGACTTGTCACTTGAACTGCTGATATGAGGCATAGCAGTTAAAAGAAAAATATTTAACATCTTCTCAACTCTACATATGCTTTTTGCCTTCTGGTCTTTCACATCTGAGACAAGAAGCTCTCGCTGCATATTTTCTTTCCATCTCAGCTAGAAATAGGCTCAGCTGCTCTAATTCCTCCACGGCTGATGGAGCAGCGGGTTGCTATAGAGATCTGTCATCTTCTGAACGGCAGAGTCAAACAATTCTGCAGTCACAGTCGATTGCTGAGGACTTTGCTGAATGAAGACAGGCAGTTTCCTTCTTCATGGTATCTAGCTGGTTTTGAAACAGCAATTAGATACACATGGAGCTATCAGACTGGATCTTAGCTGTCGTTGAAGAAACTGGGGGAAGGCTGGTTTGTTTGGGTTTTGTTTGGTTTGGGTTTTTTATTCTTTTCCTTTTTGTGAAGGATAGCAGGCTTTATCCCTTTGCTTATCTTCTCTTGCATCTGTCAGATGTCCTGATGAAGCATATTGTAGTTTGGAAATTGCTCAGTTCTATCCCCTGCTTAACCAGTTACACAGTGTATAACCCGATATAAGCTCCTTATAACTTTCACACATTAACCCAGATACATTTGTTTGTGCCTTCTGGGCTCCCAAGAATATGGAACGTTTTGAAAACACCAACAACATGCCTGACTATATTCTTAGGAGCTCAAGTGCTCCTGAAAATGAGCTTCCTCCCCAGTGGTATGGCTACAGTGATATGTAACTGAGGAATAGGGTGACTTATGTTTTTGTTTGAAGGTTCCACAAGGCAGAAGTGATGTGCAATTCAGATAACACTGTTTTCATTTGCTTCAGGTGTTGTCATTTATAATCCCCACACAGCTCCAGAGGGTGACACAGAGGGCACTTCACAAGCTCTTCCACACAAGGTATTGCACTTCTGTTTTATGCTTTTGACATTATTTTTACTAGTGTTTCTGGCCACTATTTGTGACCTTCTGCCACCATCAGAGCTTTCAGTATTATCCTTAGATATTCTCTCTTCATTAGAGGTGGCTTGTCAGGGATTACAGATTCTCTTTAAGGTTTGCCACACTGTTGTCTTTCTGTTCCTTGCTTGCTGAGAAGATGGTACCCTGAAATATTTGAACATATTGACAAATAAAGATAATGTGGCTCAGTAGCTTCCAGTGTAACAGATGTTGGTCACACTGGTGGGAGACTGCATCCACGAGGGAATTAAAACAGACTCTCCGGCAGCTGCAGAATGAGTTTAGACAGAGCTAGAGATCCCCATCCTCTCCCTCAAATCCCATTAGTCTTAGTCTAGCAGCTTGGATGTCCAGGTGGCTCAAGGGGAAGCTGCACAGCTGCCAACGTGTAGCCTGCTCTATTAAGGTGAATTTTGTAGTTTCCTGTAAACTGTGGTGCTTGAGATCTGCTTCAGGAATGATTTAAATACCTTTCCTCTGGGGGCAGCAACTCCGGTATGACAGATGCTTCAGGGGTGTAACATCTACAGCTGTGGAATGTGTGCTGCAATTGTTTTGTTGGCTGTTGTGCTGATTCTCTGTTAACACAGCCCAAGAGAGAGTGGTGACACTGTCAAACGTGCAGTCAGCAACAGAGCAATTACCTGATGAGCCTGGTGTAGCTCTCGTTTCCAGACTATGCTGTGCGCTGGGGATGCTTTGATCCTACACACACATACCCTTCAACTGTGTCATCTCATTCAAGAGATCTTTCAGTTCATGCAGAAGTCCAGCAAGGCACAGCACTTGAGGGTATCTTCTCGTAGACCTGCAGTTGGGAGGAGACCCTGCAGGATCCTGCTGGATTGCACACAGTGTAGGAGAGAGCAGTAGAGGAGAGCTTGTCTGCAATGGACTTCCCACTGTAGTAAAATAAACATTACTAGTTAATTAAAACTCATAATAAAAGTTCAGCAAAATGATGTATAATGCAGAGAACTGTAGGAAGTGAACATTGCTCTCCTAATGTGTGGCTTGTCTGAGCATCTGTTTGACAGGCTGCTGAAAGTCGTTGCTCAGTATGATGCATCCCAAACAAACCTGCATTTGTTGCCAAACGGTTGTGCAACTTGCCTGGAAGAAGCTGTAGGTCTGCCCACAGGTTGGAACTAGTGTTCGCCATTGCTAACCTCCCACCATGCTTACTTCATAACAGCTGCTTATATTATTACAGTGTTTTTAAGATTACCTTTTATGGGGGTTGTCTTTCAGAGCAGCACACAGCAAATTTCATCTGGCAGGATGTTTTGTGGCTATTGCTGTGGCATATTTTATCAGCACCGAGGGTGCTTTGTACTTGGCTCCACTGTTGGGGGAAAAAAAATCCCAAGGGCATGACAATAATGGAAGTAAACTTAGCTGGCATATTTAAAGGAGTGTATGTGGGAAGAAGAGAAGGAGAAGCCACTGGATGGAGAAAACACTATTAATATGTAATCCATGCTGGCCTGAAAACCTAAAAGAGGTGTCTCCTTGCATTTGGAAAGTCTTTGCTGATCACCTCTGAGTGTACTTGACCTGTTAATGAGGATGCTGAGTATTAAATAGACTGTCCCCTTTCTGTTACAGAAGCTGTTTGTTTGTTGTCCTGCACATAGCCTTGCAGGCTGCGGTGTATGGGGAATACACATGGGAAGTGTTTGTTTACTGCTGGGAGCTGCAGTTCCACCTCCTCCTCCTGCTGCTGCCCTACCTGCTGCTGGCTGGGAACATGGGCTGCTTCATTCTCTGTTCCAGGGCCAATCCTGGTAAGCATATGCTCATTTGTGAGCTGTAGATGTTTGTAAACAGAACCTAAAAGATGTTACAAACCCCATTGCTTTTACTGTTTTCCTTGCTTCTTTCACAGGTATAATAACAGAATCAAATCATGCAGCGTTGGTTAAGATTTATGCATATGATGGTGTGTTATTTCAGAAAGGTGTCGTGTGTCCTACCTGCGACATGGAGAAGCCAGCCAGATCAAAACACTGCAGTAAGAATCTTAACTTCCTTGATAAGCATAACAGTAATACCGTGCCAGATGAATTCTCCATCAATAACTGCAGTTTGTGCTACATCCATTCTGTCACCCAGCTCGATGCGCAGAGGATTGTGTTCGCTGTACTGGGGTCCCAGTTTACAGCTGCCCTTTGCCCCTCCATAGAACTGTTTTGCTGCTCTTTCTTCTCAGAAAGATTAGCGGTTCCAAGGGTGTCATTTTGGGTCAGGAACAGGCAAGCTTTTGAGCATCTAGAAGTTAAATGGAAAATTATCACCTGTCAAGACCTGAGTTCAGGATTTTGTGTTTCTCTTGAAGAATTCACTGTTATCTCCTAAAATAAAGTGGGGAGCTACAACCTCTGTCTTTCGTATGCTTTGCTAGGCAGTGCTGTCAGACAAACCAGAGTCTTTGAGCTGCAGTTTGGGGGGAAAAAAAAAAAAAAGAGATGAGATACATGTCTTTGGTTTTACTATTGTTTTATTTTTATGTTATGCAATTGAAATGAATGTATTTGCTTAAAAATCTCTCAGCTAAATTATGACTGTAATTCTCAGATTTTTTTCAGATGAAAACTGTGTAAAAATCAAATTGACTACTTAAAAAACTGATAACTGAACTGTCTTGCCCCTCCCTCCTCCTCAGGTTTCTGCAATACATGTGTACATCGTTTTGATCACCACTGTGTGTGGGTCAACAACTGCATTGGTGCCTTCAACGTCAAGTATTTCTTCCTTTACCTTTTGACACTGACTGCCATGGCTGCCACCGTTGCCACTGTCACAGCCACGTTTCTCATCCAAGTGGTGCTGCTCTCCAACATGATGCACGGGAGTTACGTTGATGACCAAGGACAAGAGCGTGCTGTCGAGATTCTCTTCATCATTCAGGTAAGTTTACGCCACCTGGGTTATTAGCCTATAAAAAGGTTTATATTAGTCTTGGCTTTCAGGAATCTTTTAAGTCTGCGTGTTCTCACAGGCAGAATGTGGACAGACTGCAGTTTTTACCAGCTTACAGGGCTAATTAAGTTTAGGAAACTTGAAAAATACAGGATTTTTCTCATAGCACTTCATGCAGTTCTCCTATTCTTCATATCTCTGTCTCCAGACTGCTTTCACTCAGCAGATCTGATTCATGAAGAATGACTTTATGTTCCAATGACCATCTACTGTAGTATTGTTTAGGAAACAGCTAACAATCCTTGAGATACTTGTATGGAGAAGTTAAAGCAGGACTCTGCTACCCTGGGATTTAGATACTTGAATATTTTCTCTCACATACAAGCAAAGGGTGACTTTGAATCTCTCTACCACTTGAGGCATTTGCATTTCAATCCCCTCATGCCTTTCTGTAGGCAGTGAGGTGGTAAGTAGGAAATGCTTCATCTTTTCTTCATCCCAGACAACAGATGTTTCAGCTCTGACCCTTAGAAAGGGGTCTTTGTCAGGGAATGTTTGCTCATGTTTGAGCAGTACCGGTACCACTCCCCAGCACTGGAATTTAACTCAGAAAAAAAGAGCTGCTTAAACTGTATGATGTCAGCAAAACCTGATGTTGTACCAGATTGTAGCCTCTTCATTTGGCAGTTTGTTTTCAGATGATCTGCATTAATGATTTTTTTAATTAAAAAAACAACAAAAAGCAAACAAGCAAAACTCCAATATGAAATACAAACATTCATAGATAGATGAGTGTAGAGAATACACCCACGTATCAGCAAGGCTTGTGAGGGGAAATACATTTCTGGAAATCTCTGTGCTTTACTCAAAGATTGGACCAGGAACGGACCATCACTGAGCTGGGTGGGGGATAGGGCTGTGTCCTTATCTCTGAGGCCGCACGGTTCTGTGTGTGTATGGATCTGTGTTTCAGCTGGCGTGTTGCACTGATCACACGCTTCCATGTGATTTAATGCTCCAACTTTTTCATTAAGTTATTATTTTCTTTCTTTGCAGCACCTTTTCTTGACTTTTCCTAGGATTGTCTTCATGCTTGGTTTTGTTATCCTTCTCACGCTCGTACTGGGCGCTTACTGCTGCTTCAATCTGTACTTGGCCTTGACCAACCAAACTTCCAATGAATGGTATAAATCCAGAAGATACGGGTGTTCCCACCATCTAACGTCGCAGCCTCATGACAGACGAGTTGTCTATAAAAACATCTATTCTAAAGGAGTCTGGATGAATTTAAAGGAAATCTTTAAGCCTCCTACAGTGTTGGAAAGAAAGAAGAAAACTTGAAGATAATACTCTCTATATATGTATTTTTTTAACCTTTTGTAAGACTTTACTTCAGCACTGTGCTTTGATGCCCCAAGCAACTTTTATAAAAGGATTATGGTATTTCGATTAAGTGAAACTATGTTTTCATAAAGCAAACTAGTCCTTAAAAATCTAGAGTTCTTCCGAGTTTATCACTGCTCCTACCAGCTGTGACAGTGGCCTGTCCAGTCTTTTCAGACCCAATCACAGTATTGAAGCAAGCTGTACTAGAGATAGGTCCAGCTGAGGAACACATACACAACTTTTTTTTGTGATTACTGTTTGGATGCTGCATTACAGCACAGTATAATGAGCAAACTGAGTTCCTCAGTGCCTTTGGTACATCTTAAGTAGGTCTTCCTGCAGGAGACTTTACAGGAATAGAGCAATGTCACACATGTGGAAGCAATAAACATCTGAATGCAGGTTATTTGTCAACTATCCACTTTTTTTTTTTTTTTCCCCTGCAGGAAAATAGTAACTCCCAGCTGGCTGTATTTAGCTGTGAGCTACTCTTTGCAGCAGTATTGTGGTTAACAGTGTCTCAGCAGAGCACTAGTGAAGATACTTCACTTGGTGAGATCTCTGGGGTTAAGTTTAGTCCTCGTTTCCTTGTTAGAGGGACCAGCAGTGAATTGGCCGGTGTGGAGAGGCACGTCGGGTCCATCTTACTGAAGTGAATCTTTTCCTCTCTGTGTACAAGCAAGGGAAGAGCTAACAAAGAGCTGCTGTGAACTTTGAGGAAGCTTCATCTTTTTGTGAGTACCTTTGTTTCACAAATGATTACTCCATTACTGTTAACAGTATGCAGAATAGGTTGCATGTTTTTAGGTGAAAAAAACCACGATTACATGTAGAATCTTAGCCTGCAGAAACCACCTTCTACTGCAAATTTGTACTAGTTTGGAGCACCTTAATTTCAGAAAGGAAACTACTACAAGTGCTACTTCTTACCTGCTAAGTCTCTTTCTTGTACCTGTTTTTAGCTGTTTGAAAATAAGATGCACTTTCAGCCTTAGAGTTAGGAAAATAGTGGACTTTAGGACAAAATTTCAGCAACCTGAAAAGGGGATCAGATGTTTGATACTGAGCTTGGGACATAAAGGTCTTGGCAGATAACAGACTTAATCGTTCTGGCATTTCTCATCTTTATTCAATTGTTTGATATAGCTGCTCACTGCAGGAGGCTCAGCCATGTCTTAGGCATTCCTCTATTTTGGGCATTTTGTGGCAGAAGTTACAGTTGCTGAGGCTATTCAGAAGCACAACAGTAACATGGTCTTCCAGTTCTGTCCAGGGATCCTCTGGGTGAACACCGAAAGGCACTTCATCAGTGTCCCTCAAAAACACCCTCTGCCTTAGTGGTGGAAGACATAAGTAAACTTACAGCAACTAAGTTTTTACTTTTGGAAGTGGCAAAAAATATGGAAGTAGCCTTCTGAAATCCCTCCAGCTAGGGATCACTTGAAAGATTCCAAAGCATACAGGTACTGGGTGCCTTTAGATGCTTGTTTTGGGAAAAATAGTGTATTTGACTTGCCCAATAACAACAGTTTTTCCAGCACAATGTTAAGTGGCCCTGTTCTCTTCTCTTTCCAGAAATTCTGTTTGAGTGATAATAGAGCAGAAATTGAAAAAAAAATATAGTAAGAACTTTAAATAACTTTATTTTTAAAAATGTATTTATTTACATGCCGAATCTGTACAATATGCAATTAAAAATCCATATATGTTTTTTTTTAAAAAAAAAATCATATACAATATGGCTTTACACACCAGCAGACTAGCTCTCAGAGCAGCCTGTCCGGCATTGCAAGGGTACAATAACGCATTCTTTCATAGACCAGTAAATAAGGCTACTTGTCCAGGATATAAAATAAAAGAAAAATACTGCAGTACCATGCCTTAGGAGGACTAAAGTAGTGAGGTTAAAGGCGTGAAAGTTTTTGAGTGGTGGTGAATGCACACCAGAACTCCTTAGGTTTGGTTTTCTTGATTGGTTTTAAATGCATATGATTAAGTAGTCTCTTTTGAGACCTACATACTTGTTTCACTTTCTGAATCCTTTTAAACACCAGAACACTACTGTCCTGTGGTCAGAGGTAAATGATTTGCAAAGGACCTTCCTTTATTTGAGGCAGCTGTACAAAATACTGTCAAATATGCTGTTATCAGTCACTTTCACAGTCTAACCATGCAGAGGTTTTCAACCACTGTTGTTTCCATTTTAAACAGAAAACATCCTATAGAAGCATTCTTTCCCTTGCTCTCTGAACAGTTATAACGGCAAACTTAGGACTGATCAAATTCCCCAAACTGGAGAAAAATAGTAAGCTTTACATTGACATCTGTCACTACCTGCATGCTGTCCATTACACAATCACAGTCTGCACTTCCACCTCCCCCTCCTGGGAGGCGATCACAAACTCTCCTGCGTGTTCCATGATCTCAATGTCCTCAGATGCCACCATCGTCACCGTTGCCTCTTCCGTCTCGATGCTACCCTCCGTGGTCAGCACCGCTCCTTCTCCGATGGCGGAGGCCAGGGTCATAGCCACCTGCTCCGTGAGGCTTTCGGGGGTCGCGATGGTGATGGTGTCTGCAGCATCTGTGGTTACTTCAGAGTTTTCTGCCACGGTGACGTTCTGTACGATGATCTGGTGACCAGAGTTTGCTTGATTTACTATTTGCTGCACAACCTTCATAATGTGGCTGTCGACCTAGATGAAGAGAAATGAGGCCATGTTATTTCTCAGCATATTGTACCATTAGAAGTACAAACACTTATCACTATAAACCCCTCTTGATGAGCAGAAGGGCAGTACCAGCAGCATTTAATTCCAGTTTCCTTCTGCTGTTCACTGAACTTCCCATCATCCTGACAACAGCAGACTCGTAGAACTTGTCACACCTCGTGTTTCTGAAGGTGTTTCACTAGCAGGGTACTTCTACAGAAAATCAAACTATTGTGTATAGAAAAACCTTACCAAGGCACAGCCAGTGAGTGAATGCCATTCAAGAGCCTCGCCAGCCCAACTTTGCAGCAACCATTAGTTTTACCATTCAGGAATGCCTTAAGAGGATCATTTCCCCAAGGGTGAAGTGTTACTGTGCAATTCTACACAGCTGGATTTATTTAGCATGAATTCTAGACACTAAGAGTGCTTCATTTCATCTACAGGAAGTCCCCAAAATAATAGTTTATGTGGCTGCTTTACCTCATGTCTTGTTCCCTCTATTATTTCTGTAGCTTCGCTGGTCTCCATGTCTTCAGTAGCAGTCTTGAAAGACAAAATATGATGATTCCCTTTTTAGATTACTACAAAAAAATCTTTTATTACCAAGATATAAGACAGTAAGATCTTCTGAAAAGTCTTTCTGTTCCCCACATCATGCAGTAGCTACTCTAAAGACAACACCTCTTTGAAATTCCCTCCAAATCCCATTATCAAGAGCTACTTAAAAGTAATGCAAAGTGCTCACAAATAACTGAAAGAGAACATCCTCTCTCAGCAGGACTCGGCCAACTGGCAGATTTTTCTCCTACTGGAGAAAAACTATGGCAGCACTAAAGGGACTCAATAAATGAACTGTGTTATTCTGCACGGATGAGCACTGGCTCTTTGTCACGAAGGGGGAGAAAGTGAAATGCGTAATTCATTGCTTTTGGCAGCCACAGCCAGCTGAAAACAACAGAGATTATTTTGGACAAAATGAGCTAAATAGAAATGGGAGAAAAGAGTAGGTAAAAGTTGAGGGAGAACTGAAGGAAGTTTGTGAGGACATAAAGTCCAGTATGGTCAGAAGATCTCGGTCTCAGCCTTCTGATGAACTACTGTCAGTCTTCACTGTGTTCTCATTTTCCTGCCTACATTAAATGCAGGACTTGAGGAGAGTGATGAAGTCCTCCTGGTACTCTCCTTCTGAACAAGGTTAATCCTACTTATTCCTCAGGTCATGCAGTCAGGGGTAGCATTGGCCAGATCTGATTTTACCTTCTCCCAAAAACTGAGATGAGGGACATGCACAACTGCATGTTTACTGACCCAAAACAGTGCTGAGAGCAGGCTGTTTGCCCCACTTCTTACCTCAATGATGTATTCCTGAGTGTCCGCCACCACTGAAGAAAACTCTACCAAAACAGTGTGAGGATCTTCAGAAATGACCGTTGCAGCCAAGTTGTCAGCTGACTGACTTTCCTCAGACACCATCACTTCTTCCACCTCTTTCAAAGCAAGCAGGCAGCCACCTGAATGATTTCCAAAAATGCCAGGAAAACATTATTTTTCGTAACAGTCTTAAATACAGGAGTACCTGGAAAATATTATGCAGCACGAATGAGACCCCTTTAACAGGATGACACTGACAAGCAACCAGCAGTCAGACAACAGGCTCTCATCCCACCAAGACAGGCCAAATAATGACCCCTAGAAGAGGCCTATGTGACACCAGAACCTAGCCTCAAGCAGAGCAACCTTCCAGTGTAATTACAAAAATGAGTATCAATATAATTTCAAGAACTACACCACTAAATTCAGATGCATAGAGCCATACAGGCTTTCAAGAGTCTTTTCTCTTCTTTGATTTTCTTTATTTGAAGAACATACAGTAAGACTTTTGGTATTTTTTGAGTCATTTATCTTTTCTGTTTATGCATTCCACTCCAGTATCTATCTAGGAAACTTTTTTTTCCCCTCCAGTAAACTCAAATAGTCCTTCCTGATCTCCATACGTCATCATCACTATCTGAAGAAGTTTGAAAATCTGTGCTTAGGAGCTAAAGAGCAGCAGGTCCAGCATGACTAATCCAATCAAACAAGATTATCTGTGAGAACTTAACTCTACTTAAGATATTTTCCTTGCAGAACAACCACCTTTGTGTTTTTACACGATTTCACAAACCTCAAAAATTAGTATGAATTTAATGAAAAAAAAAAACCAACCCAATTGGCAAGTTTAACCAGAACAATGTAAGTTTTACAGTCTTCTCACCTCTTCCCCAATACAGAAATCAACCTCTCTCCAGCATTAGTTTGCAAAAATGTTAGTTTGTGTGCACAGCCTTGGAACAGAACCACTTCACAATTCGGGGTAGACTCTTGTATGATGTAGGGCCCGTTGTCCCCACTTCAGGCAGTGGTGACATTGCAGAGATCACTTAAGGCAGTCTGGAGCAGAGCGCCCACAGCACTCCTGCAATTTGATTCTTAATGCAAATTCTATTTTGGTCTTTGTCTTTATTTAGATGATCTAGATTTTATATTAGAACTGTTGTATGGCTGTTTGCTCAGCATCATTTTTGGTCAGAAAGATCACAATAGAAATAGTCATTAATGTAGATTAAAAAAAATAAAATAAATAAAGCATCTCTTTCTGATGCAAGTGAGATGCAGAGAAACAAACTGCCTTGGACAAAGGTCATTAGATCCACTCTTCAGCCAGAAAGCAGCTTGCCCAAACCCAATCCTAGAACAACACCCCACTCCAACACAGACAAGCTTTGCCACCTCACCTTTGGTTTTTAAGTGCCTGTTGAGGGTGCCGTGCTCTGCAAACCCTCGCCCACACTTGTAACACTTAAAAGGCTTCTCCCCGGTGTGATGGCGGATGTGACGCACCAGCGAGCCCTTCTCCCTGAAGCCTCGGCTGCAGTACTGACACACGTAAGGCTTGTCCTCCAAATGCGTGCGGAAATGAACTTGCTGGGCATTCTGTACAAATAGAGAAGCAAGAGAAGGGAATGACAAACTCAAGCAAGCAGTAGTTTAGCTCCCAGGGTAAAATTCAACATCTTTGAGGACTTCTCACGTAAGACGCGATAAAGACTTGTTTATAGTGTTATTATTACGTAATCACAGAATCACAGAATCTTCTAGGTTGGAAGGGACCTTAAAGATCATCTTGTCCAACCGTCAACCTAACTGACAAAAATAGACACCCACACAACAAACAAGGAGCATCACCATCACTAAACCATACCTCCCAGCACTACATCAACCTGTCTTTTGAACACCTCCAGGGATGGTGCCTCAACCACCTCCCTGGGCAGCCCATCCCAATGCCTGATGACCCTTTCAGTGAAAAAATTTTTCCTAATATCCAGCCTGAACCTCCCCTGGCGCAACTTGAGGCCATTTCCTCTTGTCCTGTCGCCTGTGACTTGAGAAAAGAGACCGACCCCCACCTCTCTACACCCTCCTTTCAGGGAGTTGGAGAGAGCAATAAGGTCTCCCCTCAGCCTTCTCTTCTCCAGGCTGAATAACCCCAGCTCCCTCAGCCTCTCCTCATAAGACTTATTCTCCAGACCCCTCACCAGCTTTGTCGCCCTTCTCTGGACCCGCTCCAGCACCTCAATGTCTTTTTTATGGTAGGGGGCCCAAAACTGGACAGTCTTTCCAAGCATGAAGGAACAGTTTCTTCACAAATGTGAAGGCTTTATTAAGACTGTCCCTCTTTTCTCCATTAAAACAAAAGCTCCTTCTGGAGCTTCTTCTCTTCCAAGAGGCAGGCGAGCTGGCACTTGTTCTTTGAGGGGCAAAGCCTCCTAACTTCTCCCAAACCCCAGCTCTGGAAAGGAAAATCT